AAAAATGTTTTCTGTTACACCTACATCTTAAGATGCTCTGTAGCATCAGAGCAACAGTGCTACCATTATAGAAAAAATCAGAAGAAAGAAAGTGTCTGCATTAGTGTCAAAGGAAATAATGAAGGAAGGGAGAATGAAGGCATCCATGCAAGCAAACATAAAGCACCGAGACTAGTGAAAAGAGAATAGTCCCCTAAAAGGAAAAGTTAGCCACTGGTAGACCACTCCTTATGGAAGCCAGCCACCCAGCCAGCAAGGCTTGTCTTCCCTGTGGAGTTAGACGTGCAAGAATCATGGGAACCATCAGGTATTGTGGTATCCATAATATGGGCTGAGCACCAGCCTGGTCCTGTTGCTAACTCACTGCAATCTGGACTGGAGTTTTTAAATCTGACTTATGAAACAGCTGGGGGTAATACAGGGCAAGCAGCTTCAGTTACGGTGCAGAATTGCCCTTAGATGAAGGCACTTTATCCTGGCAATTTAAGCAAGGGGCAGGTTGTACTTTTTTCCCCTAGAAAAGTTCTCTTCTAGAGGAAGAGACTTCTGTTTTCTCTGTGGGGCAAAAAACTTCTTTGAAATTGGGTTTTCTCTGTGTTGGAATATTTTCCTTATATGTTTACAATTAACTTAAATAAAAGATTGATGAAAGATTGTATAGGCAGTAGTAATGCCATTTTACAAAAAGAGAAGCCTGGATCCTGACTTTATAAATTAAATGAGCACATCGCATAGCAAAACCTATGTAAAGGAAGACATATACAGTATCTTATGTATAGGGAGACATATGTATTGGAAAGATAAAATGCCCATTTATATAGACATTGTGGTTAACTATAAATAAGGAAACATTTGTTTTAACAGAATATAAAAGGAAGGAAGGATTGCACAGGAGGAAGATGTTCATCCTGATAGAGCAGGAACTACTGTAATAAGCTAACATACTCCATTCTATTGATAATGATTGGTTATATCTTTAAACCAGAAACCTATAAGAAGGGAGACAGAGGAGCAGTCCATTGCTGCCACCACCCAACATTACTTGACAACCTTGAGTTGAATAAATGTATTTTATTTGACCTCCACTGATCATCTGGCATGTTTTATTGGATTTTTGGCTTGAGCGTCTGATCCTCCTGACACTCAGACAAAATTCCTGGCCTCTCCATATCTCTGAGAAAAAAAAAAGGATGTCAGAGCTTAAAGCAGACCTTCAGTTTATAGCGTATATAGAGAAACCAAGCACAATTGTCCAAAGTGTGTTGAAATCTGAGAGTATAAGTGAAACACAAATTATGATCTTTCAGGCAAGATGAACAGCAGCTAAATCATCTTTGATTATTTTTAATCCAAAATATGAAGAGCTTTCTGTTCATCGTATCAGTATGGGTGATAACAAATGAACAAAAAAAGTCCAAAACTAAAGGGTGGTCCTTAGAACAATCCATTAACCAGAAATTCCCTGTCAATTGCTTTAGTTGGGCTACCACATCTGGTCTGCAAAATTTCAGATAGCCACTACATGGAGGTAAAGAAGTTGAAGTTTTCCATTCTTCTTTTCAGTCATCTTGATTTTTGCAGCCTAGATCTAGTAGCCCACGGGAAATGAGAAGCCAAATCATCTAAGCATCTGCTCTTAGGATGTGCTTGTCAACCAAGCATGAAAATTTAATTAAGATTTCCTCCTTCCTTTGCTGGAGGAATGTTGTAGCAGTTCTTTAGAGGTCTAATTAACTGTGTGAAACTTTGAAACAATGCCTTGGAACATTTCATGAGCCATAAGGAATTGCCAACAATTCTTTTCCTCTGCTGCTCTTTCCAGAGAAAAATGGAACGTGGCATCTTTTTAAATTCAAACTTTCCATTTGGGGCATGTTGGACCCTTTGCACGTGCACAGTGTGCATTCCAATAAAGTGGTTGTGGTTGTCTGACTTTCACATGTACTCTAACAAGAAACAGTCCTAAGTCACACTGAAATGGAATAGGACTCAATTTGATGCTAACTGCATTTTAGTGAGGCTTAGGACTGTTCTCATGGCCCCCATTAAAGTTCTTGATTCAGGAGGAAAGTATATTGACATAAATGGTGCTGCTTCACAGGCTTCCTTTACAGCGCCTAAGCCTTGACAATATCGCTGTCCTCACAATTTAATGCAGAGTAGTTTCACAGCAGCAATTGGTGGATTCTCTGCTGTCTTTTCTCTTCCCTCCTAGCATCTCCTTCAGGTAGGAAAACCAACTACTAATTTTTCTCCTGAATATGTGGCAAGGCAGGATTGGAGGTTCAAGCCTTAAATCTATTATTTATTTGTTTAGCTCTACTTTTTATTATTTATTGCACACTGCTTCTGATAGAACTATTGATCTCCCAGGATTCATAGGTGCTGTCAGGATCCCTTCAAAAAGCTTTGCATCTTCACCAGTGTCTCCATTTCTGGCAAGTGGTTGTTCTGACCCCCAAAGCTACGTCACAAGCAGCCTCCGAAAAATGAGGTAAAGAATCCAATTTCCCCAGGGAACTAGGAAAAATCTTTCAAGTTTTGAGTATGGTTGCTTGCTTGCTTCTCTCTCTCTCTCTCTCTCTCTCTCTCTCTCGGCTGTGCGTGTGCCTTGTGGAGAGAAGAATGCCAAGAACAGCTTTTACAATATGAAAACAGAAGCTCCAGGGGAGTCCCTCAGATGTACTATCATATTATTCAGAGACTTCCTGAAATTAATTCTCTTATTTCATCTCCGCTTTCAAGACTGTTTTTCCTTTCTCCCTTGTACTAAGAGGGGCTTAGAGCTTCTCCCCTCCTTCCTTTTCTGGTAGTTGGCTCACAAAGGAGCTGTGATTCTCTTGTAGATATCCTCCATGTCTTTATGGAGATTGCAAGACTCTCCTCCTTCCCCCCTAGGGAAAAGTAGATAAAAAGAAATGTCCACTTCTTCCTCCCCTCCCAAAGAGTCAGTGGGGGAGGAATTGAGAATTGGATGGCATATAAGCTTAATTATTATTGGTCACACAGTCGGCCAGATGTTTAGACTGGATTTGGCATTTTTATCCACCTATTGAGTCCTTCCCAAGGACCTGGGATAGGCAGATGTTGTTCTTTGATGGTGTTAAAGGTATCATCGCAGGATGTAAGCTGTTCCAAGTAAAGCTGCCTTTTGTGACTGACTGGTGGTGATTTTGTCAATGCTGATGGTGTTCAATGGTACTCCAGATGTTTTGAAATTGCACCTAAGGCACCTATTACTATTGGTACTATCTTTGGTTTCTTTTGCCACAGTCGCTCTACTTCTATTTGCAGGTCTTTGTATTTTGTAATATTATTTCCTCAGAGAGGAGATGGCAGCCAGGGAAGGTTCCAGCATGTCAACCTCCTAGTCAGAAAGTCTCTCCAAATCAAAATTCATCCTCACTGGGTCCAGAAGGTGGGTAAGAACAAGACTGTCCATGTCAACCATATAACCAGAAACAGGCAGGAAGAAAAGTTAATCCAGGTATAGCTTCAGTCACTCCCCTTCACCCCTTGTCCAGAAGTCTGCCCAATGGATGCAAGCTGGGGCAGGTCAGGATCCTTGTAGGCAGTTCTTTCAACACCTCTTCCTCAGGATCTACAAAATCTGCAGGTGCCTTGGGCAGATTGGAAGAATACTTAGTTTGAATACTTACTGAGTTTGTGTGAGTACTGCAAATGGAAACGGCAAAGAAGGCGGAGTGCTATTTTCTGCTTCTTCTGACTGGACTCAGATATTTGCCTTCAGCAGTTTAAAATACATTTCACCTCAAATTCCTTCTCCTGTCCTAACACTGGAAAGGGGTGGGGCACAGGAATATAAGGGGCATGGAGGTGTTCAAGACCAAAAGGGAATAGTGAATAACTTGTGTATCTTCATTGGAATAGGGAATTTGCAGGCAAAAGCCAGATAGGCTTATCCAGACTGATACAGAGAAAAAACCCAATTAATTTGGTATGCAGCTTCTTGGAAGGATGTGTGAAGGGTAGAAATTTGGTAGAGATCCCAACAGCAGTGGGGGATCCTCCTGGTGATAGTTGTCAATAGTACATTTGTAGGAAGCCTTGGCATGATCTAGCTGTTCCTTGAGAAGTCACTATGCTGCCTCGTGTGAGGCCGCACATGCTGAAGAGGTGGGGCAGAGTCTGTGAACAGGCATGGGTGGTAGTCATAAACTACCTCAAAAGGTGACTAGTATGTAGAAGAGTGAACTGAGTTGTTATATATAAAGATGGCCATAAGAAGCAGTTAGGCCAGTTGTCTCAGTGATAATTCATATAACAACAAAGAATTGCTCCAAAGTAGGAATTGCCTTTTTTGCCTTATCAGATTTGGGGTGATATGTCAAGGAAAATGGAGTCTAACATCCCAAGGTTCAAAAATAGTCTTCCAAAAACTGCATGTAAATTAAGAACCTCTATTTGAGAGAAATTAATTGGGAGCGTTTTGATCCCAAAAACATGGTTAATGAATAACTGAGCAGTCTCTAGTAGGGGAGGGGGGTAGAGTAGGGGATAGGTTATCCAAATAAAGAATCAAATAAGAGCCAAAAATGTCAGGAAAAAATATTCTTCATACATCTCACAAAGACTGAAGGAACATTCACCAAACCATAAAGCAATACTGCATATGCAATTTTCCATAATACATATCAATGGCAGTTAAGTGTTTGTAACCCTCTCTTATGCAAATCGGGTTGAAAGCCCTTCTAAGATCCAAACTGGTAAAAATATCAGTTTTCTATAACTGTTCCAAAATGAGAGGAAGGAGGTAATGATCTCTAATGGTCACAGAGTTACAAAATCTATGGTCATGAACTACAGCTCTTTTGAAGACACAGGGGATTGGCATTTAGAAGGTGCCCCTTCCTTCCTCCATACATCAGTGTAATCAGAGTATTTAATAGATAAAACAGAAGGGACGTTTTGGCAAGATGGAGGTGAACTTTAGATATATGATAGAAGACTCTATAACATTGGTTATGTGCCCTGAATCAACCAGGGCTTTAAGTTTTATTACAGATACAGTTTGAGAGCAAAGAGTAACCGGTATTATCAAATGTCATTGCTGAGCATTCTATATCTGAACTCCCCTTGTCAGATCCTCAACTCTGAGCTCATGTAGGGGAGGGCTACTGTTTCCCAACAAACAGATCTTGCAAAGCTGGGAACTGACTTGCAACACTTCAGCCCATAGCTTCAACACTTCACAGTTGATTCAGGGCAGGAAAGCATGATGAGGCAAGCTAGTACAAACTGTTCCAAAGTCCCACAATATAAACAAAGACCTTGTGTGCATCTGTATTGCTTTTCTGACAGTGGAGGCCTCAGAATGTTCCAAGTTGCATGGGTCTGTCACCTGAAGACTGCTAAATAGGTAGAGGAAGAGGAAAGGGGTAAAGTGAGAGAATAGTCATTACTCTCTTACTTCTTACAATTAAACATTTTCTCAGCATTTTTATCTTTTAACTGTTGAGCTAATCTATCCCTCATGTGATATTTTCCTAAGGTCAGTCTTCCCATAGAAATTAATGGCTACGATGTATCCCTTGGGCTTAAGGTACAACTATAGTCAAGTATCATTGACTGAGAACTTCAGGGGAGCTGTTTGTACTAACTGTTGCACAGCTCTGCTGAAGAGATTAAAAAGAAAACTACTGAGATGATAATGCTAATAATAATACTATTCATGAAAGTGTTATGAGCACTTAACATTTGTGTTAAGATTATAAACACTGCAAAATATCATTTGGACCTCAGTAACCTTGAAGAACAGAGTAATACCTTGGGAAGATGCATTAAGTTTTAAGGTTTTTGTGAATGACTAAAGCTTAGAAAATGCAGTGGATCACATATTATCATGAAATATGGAAATAATTTGCCTGCAAGTCACATGCAAACTTCTTTCATTTACATAAGAGAACTGATAAATGGTGACATATATTCTAACTTTAGCTAACAGAGGTCATTTATAAATAAATATATATATTCTTATTTTTACATGCTTTATCCTTTCTCTTTCTCTTTGAAAGTGTGCTTATGTATTCCAAATCAGTCATTCCCTTGGCCAAGAAATGCTTAGCAAATTGCAGTTTTAGGGATGGGGTAGCTGGCAACTTGGCCAATCTTCAAAAATCCTGATCAGACCTGGTCTGTATTTAGATTGGAAAACATCAGGGACTCTTAGGGCTGCAAACAAGACTGAAATTTGAAAAATCATTCTAAAGAAGGCAAATCACTTCTCTGCTGTTACCAAGAAAACTAAATGGATATGTTAATGTTGTCACCAGAAGTCAGATTCAGCTTGAAAGGCAGTGGAGTCCATGGAGAGGGAGGTCAGGTTGGCAAGATGGTGGGCGTTGCAATTTAAGCCCCACTTGTTTAGCAAGAGCGTTGGAGTTACCTTTGAGAGGGTCTTTGTTTAAATTCACCAAACTGAATGTTGGTGATGAATGGAATTAAATTATTTTGCTTAATCAAGAATGGGCCAGTGGATCCAATGAGACCTAACATTAAATCAATCTTTGCATCTGTGCTTAGGATTTTCATTTCTGCAATAAATAATTTGAGAGAATCTAACATTTCAATTGTGAGGGAATAACTTAGAGACATTTGCAGGGGAAAACTGGCATGCAAGCAGGTAGTATTTCTTAAACCTCCACTCTAAAAACTTTCTTTGAACAAAAAAAAAGCTCAGCTGAAGTTAATAAATCTTTCCAGTGCCTACAGGGGGACAATGAACCAGAACTCTGACTGTTTCCAGGACAGGTAGGGATGGATTGATATTTTGGTTGCTTTGTGGTCTAGCTATAATTTTGGGGGGATTCCTTCACTTTTGGGTAGGCAAGGACAAAGAAAATGTTGCATATTCCATTACTTTAAGAGTACTGAAGACTCACCCATATCTGTTAAAGTTGGCATAAAGTTGCAAATAGTTAACCAATTAATGAACCAATGGAATATGACAGTAGATGAAAAGGGCTCTATACTCCAGCCACTTAGGATTGACTGGAAAACAAGCACATCCAATATGGTTTTATTGGACCAGCTGAAATCGGAATGTCTTGGTGGATTGCCTTGGCACCATATTTATGTCTTCAGTGCTTACTGGCTAAGTTTTGGCAAATCACTCTCAGCCCAGACTATGTCCTTGGGTTGTTGTGGGGGGAAATGGGAGAAAGGAGCACTATGTGGACTGCCTTGAGCTTCTGAATGAAAGGCAGGATATGAATCTAATGAATAAATATGACTGGAAACCCTTATGGACTTTTTGCATAAAAAAAGAAAATGATTTTGTGACTTATGGTTTTGATGATTAGAAAGAATAGGTTATAGAAAGAAGGGAATTATGATGTAATCTTAGAGAGAGAAGTTTGATTAGAATTGTATATATGACTGCCAAGAGGAAGATCGGAAACCATTTCTTTATATTTCATCTGTTTTCTGTTCTTTTACTTTCTTTTTCTTTTTTTTAATCTCCTTTTTTCTTTGTCTCTTTTTCCTTTCCTTTCTTTTTTTCTCTTTCACATTTACTATATCATTTTCTTTGAATGTACCTATTAAATATATAAAATCTTTTAATAAAAACTATTTTTTAAAAAATCTAACGAGTAAATATAGAAACAAAGGCAGCAGTGTCTGTCTTGATTGCCTGTCCTTCATGAGGTCCTAAACTCTGTTGACCTGCATACCTAATCGTGCTGAAAAAGAGGAGGGTAAATCAAAGATAGGCAGACACAAACACATGCCAGATTTTGAGCACAGGTAAAGTCTTTTTGATTGGCTTCCAATAATGTCATAGAGTAGGAATCATGGCATATACGTGAACACATAAACTGTTTTTACTGAAAAATTCAGCAGAAGTCTGTGAATCTCTATAGAAAATTCTTCATTCCAGTAATAATACTTTGTGGAGTAGAACAACTTTGATGTGTAAGCTAATTTTAAACTGTTGAGATCTAAAACCTCTTAAATTAAAGGTTTCAAAGCACAGAGTAAGCTTAAGGGAAGCTGTTTTCAGAGCTTTTTGCATTTTTATTCTTAATAAGTTTACCTGGCTCTTTGATGAAGATCTCAAGACAATGTGTTTCTTTGTTCATTTGCTTGGCCTAAAGGTCATTATAAATTTTCCATTTTTTCAATCATTTTCTATCTTAGTTTAAAATAAATTCTGATTCATCTTTTCTCCTTCAATGAAAAGTGCACAATCATACTTCCTTAGTGGCACCCTCTGTGCCATGAACTGTATCAACAGGGATTCAGAGCAAGAGGAAGGAACTTTTGAGTCTATACAGCCATATTTGAGGCTTGCCTCAATCTATGCAATCATTTTTCATTTTAATATTGTTTCTTGTACAATTTAAATGCACAGCAGCAAGCTAGTTGGGTTAAAGTGCTCTTTAATCTAAAGAGGTGTTGCACTGGAATGGCCTCCTTTGGGCCTCACCATGATGCATTACTTTTTCCTTTAAATCCATGTAGATAATGAAGCCGCATAGCACCAGCACTCAGAATGGGATTATTAATAGTATGCATTTGAGGTATTCAGATAAAAATAATATGTGCCTTCTCTGTGAAATTCATAAAGCTTTTCATGCACATAGCAATGGCCTGTCTATGATTAAGACAAATTTTCTACAGACTGCATTCCAAAATGTGCCTGTTAAAAGTGACGATAACTAAGAAGGAGTTGGAAGGCATGGAAAGAGATGTCACCATCTTGTGTTTTCCTTCAGACAACAGTTGTCTGGGTTCAGTTCTAAATACAATGAGTTTGGATCATCTCTTATTGGACTGCACAAATCAATATATATAATTCTAAAACAGAGTTTCCCAATCTGTAGCCATGTAATTTGCAAATAGACCCAATGGTATTCTGTGGGTGGTGAAAGCAGTACAGTCTGCCTGCCTGCCTGCCTGCCTGCCTGTCTATATCTATCTATCTATCTATCTATCTATCTATCTATCTATCTATCTATCTATCTATCTATCTATCTATCTATTGGACCACCCTTCTGCAATTGTCTCTGCCTCTGTTAAACATTGCCATCTAGTGGGACTGAGGAAATGTGCCTTCTCTGTTGCTGCCCCCGCCCTCTGGAACAGCATCCTTCTAGAGATACTAATGGTGCTGACTCTCCTGGAGTTCTGGAAAGCCCTTACAACCTGGCACTGTTCCCAGGCCTGGGGGGCGGGGGGTGTCAATGGTCTTATTGAGGTGTTTGTGGAGCCCCTTTCATATCTCTACATGTGTGTTTAATTGTTTTTATTGTTTCTGGATTTTGTAAGCTGCCAAGAGTCTAATAGAGTGGGCAGCTATAACAAATTTAACAAATTTAAATATATATATATATTTATGCCTAGAAATAACCTTTTAAACTGAAAGCATACATCCTCATAATGCTTTGTCCTAAAAAAGTCTTTCCTAAATCCTTTTCTTAACGGTCTTCAGTTCCTCTCCCAACAGCTCAATTATTATGGTCTGAAATTGCAAACATTAAAATCCTCTTATAAAAGATGGAATTGTACCTCTAAGGTATCTTTTTATGAGAGCAGCAAGAAAAAGAAAATACCATTTAAAAGAAACCAAAATGGGGCATGTAATCATTTTTGAGAGGAAAGCATTTTTTGCATTATATACTCCACTATTGTTCAGTCATATGCTTTTGGATATTCTCCATATCTTATTTTCTATGTTTATTTTTTAAAGATGTATTGATTTTTTTTCAAGTGAATAGATACATTAAGCTTCAGAAGATGCATATTTTGGAAAGATCCTACATGCTTCATAAATTAACCACAGAGAACAAATTCATGTGTTAATTTTAACTGATGTGCTTGAAAGTGCTTGAAAGCCAATTACCTTGTCTATAAGTTTTCAGAGTCACGTCTTGAAGATTTGTTAGTTTCATATTTTGAAAAGAAAATAAATTCAGCTACACATATGCATCATTTGGTAGCTGCAATGTCACAAACACTTTCCATGTGTTTATTTCATCACTTGCAGCAGCAAAGCGTATTAGAGAGCACAAAAACCCTTCTCCAGTCTCCTCATATGTGCCTGGCTGCTTGAAATCCTCAGGGGTTCACTATAAAAATTCAAGGTAACTATAAATTCAGCTTAATTGTCCATCTAGCAAACATTTACTTCTTTATCTTTTTTCTTTTTCCTTACATTCTTAAACTAAAAATGCCAGACATTGAATCTGGGCCACTTTACAAATATATTTCTATTTTGTTACAAGCCCTCCCTAATTGTTACCTTGTTGGTAACGAATCTGTTGAAAGAACGGTATAGATATAATGTTTACGGATGAACATCCAAAACCAACAGTTACAGGCACTTGAAAAATAATACTGTAAAAGAATATAGTTCAAAAACTCTTGCACTTATTTTTCTGAAACTTAGCACTTTCCTTCAATGACTTGTTCATTTTTTAATTTTGGCAATAATGTTTAGTTTTCATTCTGTATAAATTTAGAAAGCTGGGGAGTTGTTTGAATAGAGTGATATCTATTCCCCATGCTGGCTGGAGAATTCTGGGAGTTGAAGTCCACGCATCTTAAAGTTCCTAAGGTTGAGAAACACTGAGCCAACTGTTTAATTTGTTGGCCAGTGACCATACTTTCTGCCTGTCTGCTACCTCTCTCTCTCCTGTCTTCTGCAAGATTTAGCTCATTTCTGAAATTAATCCTGTTTTTTTCTCCCTATGACCCTTGTTCCTCTGACTCTAACATTATCCAATGTCCCAATGGCTTTGTACTTTCTTTCTTGCTGCCCCTTAAGCCCAAGCCCTCTTTTAAAGAACAGTATGCATTCCTCCTTCTCTCTTCCATTCCAGGTCCAGTGAAGAAAAGCAACCAACCAAATACAGACTTTAACATCCCAACACAACGTTGACCTCTTCCTTAAGCTTATGGCTTAGCCTTTTAGCCCTCAGCTCCACCTGAGATATGAAGCCCAAGTAAGCATGAGAGGGCTTAGCCTTCTCTTTCTTTCCCTTTCCATTCTCCCCACCACCCAATGAAATTTAAAGTACTGCAGTTTTGTGCAGTTTGGGTTATACGATTCACCAGAGCCAAGGCAATCATCCTTTACATCTTCTGACAAATTCTGAAGCATAACAAACAAATGATATCAGTATTTTTCTTTTTTAAAGTAGCAGTTACCATCAATTGTATTTCTGTTCTTGTGTGACAGTTTGGGCATTTACATTTAGGGCATCAGAAACTTAGTACATGCCACAGATGTATTTCACATGCTATTTTCTGTGTCATATTCATTTTCTTTTTCTAATATCTAAATATCTATTTGAACAAGCAGAAAACTGGATCCACAAACATCTTACTCTGAAAAAAAACTTTAAGACTGAATTATACAGAAACACCCCAGGGGTTTTACAGCTAACAAAATAACATGAGAAAGATAAGTTTAAGAAATATTTAAAAAATTACTTTCAATAATATTATGAAAATGACCACTATTTGGGCATATTACCAAATGGAAGGCTGCTCCACTTGGCTTTAGCAAACTAGGAATGCTTCTGTTCCCTTCAGGATTTCAGTCCATTGCCTTGTGCTCTACAATCTTGAGGGTATCCTCATCTTTCTTGCCCCATGGCTGCAACAGGGTAGCATTCAGAGACATAAAATCATTATTTTCATGTTCCAGTGTGATGTGGAATAAGACTTAATTCTTCACTGTTTTAGGACAGTGTTTCTCAACCTTAGCAACTTTAAGATACATGGACTTCAACACCCAGAATTCCCCAGCCAGCATGGGGAAGTCCACATATCTTAACGTTTCCAAGGTTAAGAAACACTGTCCTAAAATGTCGTCATACCAAATGGTGGCCATTGAGAACAAACAATTCCTTTGTCATCTTACTGTTGGGGCATGCAAGCTAGCCCTGCCTCCCATAAGTATGTGCATATTTATGTACTGTATATGCTTTCTGAGGAAAAATGATATTATGTGAATGCTTTACAATGCTTTCCTTCCTGCTAATCAAAAACATGGGTGCTGCACTACTCTTTTATAGTAGATTTTCAAAATCTTTCTCCTTGAAACACTTCCCTGAATTACAGTGCTGTTCTTTAATAAAAGAATAACTTCGCATAATGAGGCTGGAAAGTACATCACACTAGGAAACATAATATATTGCTTAAAATAAAACTCAGTTCTGAGAAATCATTTTTTAGTCATTAAACATGATGAAGCTTTTCATAACACTCTTACTATAATTCAGGCAATTTTTCCATGGTGCACAGGTACATAGCAGGCCATTTCTTTTGTCAAAAATTGATGAAATAGATCTCTGCTTCTATTAGGATGATAGAAATTATAGCATAGCCTATGGAACCTCATTTAGCTATATGCTAGTGGAACAATATGTTTAAATCCCATTTCCACAATTAACTAGTTATTTTGGCCAAACCGAGGACAACATATCATCTCTTTCACATCTGGAATGTGAAGATGATATAAAGCTACTTGATAGGCATTTTAAAGAGTATTCCAATAGTACATTGCAATAAGGACAGGATAAACTTTTATCCTGCTTTTTCTAATTCACCTTCACAGGAAACTTAAAAGTTAGAAACATTGTTTTCTTCTCCACAAGAGAACTTCTCTAACACCTTATTCTTTTGGTTATTCTTTTCTGTATCTTCTCCATCTCTACAACATCCTTTGAATGAATTAATGAATAAATAAATAAATATCCAAGAAAGAAAAGAGATTAAAGTAGAAAAAGTAAAAAAGTTAATGAGGAAGATTGCAAGCATTATGACATTAAGTAAAAATTTCAGAGTTACATTGGTTTGGTTCTACATAGTAACATATCTTATGTGAATTTAAACATTCAGATCATTATTAAAATCAAGATAATATGCAACAGTTAATGACAATAACCAAAACAGTAGTATAAATTATAAAATAAAATATTACATTTGCTTCCTAGTCTCAAAAAATCTATCCTTATTTAGCTAGTCATAGAGAAACTTAATAGTTAAAACCTTACCTTAGAAGAAACCCAAACTCTGCAACATTCTTTTAGCCATGTATTCTAAATATAGTCACACTACAGATTTATATAAAAGGCCATTTTACTTTAATTGCCTTCCTACTGATTCCTGCTACAGCATCTATTTTCTTATTATTCACTGCAAGTTCAGGCCTATTAAAGTATATATGAACTTTGTATTCTCTATGCCAATGTGCACCACTTTGCTCTTACTTGCCTTGAAGTACAACTGCCATTTCCTTCTTAATTTTTGTATTAGGCTTATAAAATCATTTCTTGTAACCTCTACAGTTGTTTTATTTCCCTACTGAAAAGAGTAGTTCAGGCCCAGGTTTCTATCTAACATCTTCCATAGTAGACAGATGCAAGGGATTTATTTGGTTTCTCTGCAGTTCCCTTATTTCATTTTGAACTTCTGCCATGCAACAATTTCCTGGATCAGTTTCCTGCTTTAATCTTTTTTTTTTTTCTTGTTCATCTTAATGTTTTTTCCCATATGATTGTAAAGCCTCTTTTTCATCCTTTACTGACTATATTTCTTTTGTCAAAGTTTATGTTCTTTTTTGCAATGTTCATTTGGACAAAACTTCCACTTTTTGAAGAAGACATCTTGCCTGTAACAGCTTCTCATACTCTGCACATTAGCCACCCTTGAACTTAACAGCATCTTTCCTGATTTATAGCAAGCATTTTACCTGACCTTCCCTCTTTATTCTCCCTTTCAACTCTCTCCTTCCAATCCTCTTCAAAAGTTTGCTCCTTTGAAGTCAAATGTGACTATATTGGAGCTTGGGGTGGGGGGGCGGTGGGCAATTGTCCATGTATGTATATGCTGAATACAATGGCATTAATAGTTGTTATTTTTAACTTTTTGGGTAACTTTTGTATCTTTGACAAGATTCTGGGCAATATTTAAGATTAACATCAGGCCTGCTTCCTTCTTGTTTGGTCTTTGACTACCCATTTTAGGACATAGTTATTTGGGATCTTGCTTGTCACAACACAGGCAAAAAAAAAGAACAAATACCTGTTCTAAAGTGGCTTAACTAATGGGCTAAAGTTCAATTTGCAAAATAATTTTGTTTCCTCCTCAAACAGTGGAAAGCTGTGCTAGGCAACCCCATCTTTATGGTACACAATATTCCAGCAGATTGAAGTGTTGTCCTAAAAGCAAAAAAGAATAACATTGGTGAATTATTTGATCAGGTTATCTGCTTCAAGGATGAAAATATTATCCTGAAAAACACTAAATGTGCCACTGCTCATAATGCCAAAGACAAAAATTGCAACACAAATTAAATGAGATTTTAAACATTTCTAACTCTAGTAGCCCCTTCATGGATCACTGCCTTGTGTAACTCAGTGAAGCCATGAGCTATACCGTGCAGGGCCACCCAAGACGGACAGGTC